AGAATCTGCTCGAATTGTTAGTGCATTTGGTAGGTATGCACTGTAACTATGATACATACTATAAGTGTACATTAATCTCTACAAATAAATATCATACTAATAATTAAGAATATTTACATTACTACTTTTCACCAACAGTACTTAACTCTTTCGACTCTAACTATGTTAGTACTGTCATAACATTTCTTGTACTAAGTTATCAAATTTGAAAATTATCAAACAGATAACTCTTCCAGGTATTCGTACTGCAAATGCCATGAAAGCAAGACAAATACAATTTATTTTCATTTCTTAAGTACAACAAAGTTTGTGTGTTGAATCCACTTCATACAATAGAATATGATTCAAGAATTACCTGCATCTTCCAAACATAGAATTATTGAACATCATTAATTTAAGACATAATTTTTATTGCTTCAGGCCTTATGAACACAATTGGGCGAGTTGTGATTGGATTAATATCAGACCGCAAATTTCCATGCAAATATGGAAAAAATATGGAACGGAATAGATTAGGCATATACGTAATATCGTTGACTTTATGTGGTTTATTAACTGCTGGTGTTTTTTTGTGCGAAGGTTATATAACGTTATCTGTAAGTTTAGTTGATTTTTTAGTTGTTTTTATTAATATCAATCAGAATGTAACATTTCTTAGTGGAAAAGGACAATATGAGCTTACTGAAATTTATAGAAATCTTTGTTGCTTCTTCAACAGCTGATTTAAGCAGTTGAAAGATGTGAAATTTGAGAAAAGTCTGTACTAAACTCCGATCAAGTATGCTTTATCACAAGTACTAACTATACTTTCCTCACGTCAATCGAAAAATAAACTCTCGGTCAAATAAAATTGTGATACGAGCTCATGATGTGGTAAAATCTTACTCAAAAATTAGCAGTTTAACGGTTACAGATTTACTCTGGTTTATTTGGACTAACACTGTCATCATACGTATGCCTTACGTCGGTACTACTCGTTGATTTATTGGGCATTGGAAAATTGACCAATGCTTTTGGATTGATTCTACTTTTTCAGGGTGTTGGTACTGTTATAGGACCACCTATATCCGGCAAGTTTTGAAGAAAATTCAAAATTTAGAAATTTATCAATAGTAACTTTTAGCTTTCGAAACATGTTCTAATTTGAAGCACAATCTCATTTATGCAAAACAAATTTAAAAAACTTCTTATGAATTATTGTACTTGTTACGAGAGGTATAATATTGAAAATCAAAAAATGAAAAACAAATATGCAAATATTGCTTGCTTCAAGTACCTTTCAGATGAGATAAGCCATGTATGAATCTGAATAAGCCTTCGTTTTGTGTTCATTTGTATATACACATGTGTAGTCTCATAAATTTAACTCTTATAAATAATATCAAATAAGTAAGCAGTTCTTCAGGGCAACTAGCAGACGTGACTGGTAATTACAACATGTCTTTTGTTTTTTGTGGAATCTCATTGCTGGTTTCGGGTTTAATGTTAATAGTTATTCCATCTATTCAACGCAAACGACGTAAGCAGACGATGAATCCCGTGGCATCTCCTAATGCTTAATCGTTTACAAAAGAAAAATTCTGCAATTTGTTTTGCTCATAATTAATTGCTTGTGTTCGTTCCTTGCATTCTATGGAAGATAGAATAGCATTTTCTCGCAATAATTTATTGCTGAAAAAATTTAGTACTAAGAAAAATCTAAATTGTTTTATTATTCACTTAATATGTTTGATTCTTTATCAATAAGATTTGCAATGAAGATTTGCACTGCTAGATCATAAAGGATATATTTTTCATCTTCTGAAGCAAAGTTTTTCATTGTTAAATATGTGAGCTGCAAAAGAGCAGAGCAAATTTTCATTGAAGCAATGATAATTTTGATTACCTTCCATGAATGCTGGTCATATTATTGAGACGAATATTGTTGTGCTTGAACAAAAATGATACAAAATTTCATGAGGATCAAACAATATTCACTCTTAACACATTCAACTCAGAACTCCCACATCGACAAAGTACTGAAATATTAAATTCCTTTCTTATATATACTATAATCTTATCAAAAGAAATATTTGTGAACAAAGTACTGAAATATTAAATTCCTTTCTTATATATACTATAATCTTATCAAAAGAAATATTTGTGATGTAGTTGGTATATCTGATTTGAAGATTAAATTTGCCGTTCAATAATAATTTACTGAATACAGTAGTATAGCGATACTTCCTGAAAAAGGGATTTCGGTACATGCCGGTATGAATAAAATAGCGAACCGAGGGTTTTTTTTTTGATTCCTTAGCTGGACTGTGTTTATTCCTACCTAAGGACTATATAATGGTAGAATTGAAGTAAGACTTGTCTAAAGATCTCTCGGATACAGAGTATGGATAGTATGCTAAGAAAAATAAGCATAATAAACATAACTGAAGTTTGACAATACCTCAAAGTTCCCGATTCTTCTTACAAACACTTTCGCTAAATTTGTGTGTAATAAGAAGAAGAAAATACACATTTTTGAATCCCAATACTTTAAAAGTTTACTTTTGCAAATCTCATTATCTTCTGAAGCAAATATTACAACACCTTGAATTCTTTCACCTATTATCATTCTTCACAGTTCTAAAGCATCAAATTCTGTGAATTGAAAACATTTATAATAATATTACATTTCAGCTTTTCAAACAATATTTTCTTTATTATTTAGATTACTATTTTCATTAATGATTATTATTATTATCATTAATGTTATATTATTATTATCATTAATGTCATAATTATTACTGTTATTATTATCTATACAATAATTACTGTTATTATTGTATTGATAATTACTGTTATTATTATTAATATAATAATAACAGTAATAATTACAATTACTGTTATTTTTATAACTATTACTAGTGGTATTATATTAATATCATTATTTGTCATGCTATACTTACTGTTGTTTACTGTTTATACTAGCACTTGCTATTGTTATGACTGATATTGATCATATTACAATTATTTTACCATTATTTTAGATATTACAATTTCAAGCAATGTTATTATTATAGTTACTGCTGTCGTTACTGTGCAAAAAACTATCGTTTGTATAGTAATTATTAACAGTTACTATATCTATCAATAGAAATATAATACACACAACGAGTAACAAAACCGTTAACAATTTACGTCAATATTTAAATTTACGCAAAATAAAAATTTGCAAAATATTGAGCTGCAATAGTTAACTATGAACTACAAAGTACATCTTGACACCGTAGTATGAAGTCTGTAGATAATTTACTTGTAGACAGTATTTTTTGAAATATGCATAGGGTTACAGTGTCGTTTCCAATTTGGTTGTTTGGTTACATCACTGAATCTTCACAATGAATATTTAAAGTTACAAAAGTTACAACGTGTTCCATGTTCTCTCCATGACCATTTTGTTTCAGGTAAAGTATAAAATTTGATCAGTAGTGTTAACATTTATTGCTTTTGCAATTTTATTTTTTAAATTGTTACTTACAAGAGAAATTTTCATTTTTTCATTTTCTTCAGTGAATTTACATATTTTCTTCTGCACTCTATGTTTCAGTCAAAAACACGGAAATTATATTTGTAATTTAACATTAAAAATTCATTATTGTTTTGTGTTTAATTTCTATAATGAATTGGTATGTAGTATTGAATTCATTATATAAGCATTAATTATTTCTAATGCATTTAGTCATTCAGTAACTGAGTAGAGTGGTTAACACATTAACAAATTTTCTTTCAGTCATTACTTATACTCTATGCTGCGTGAAAGTGAAAGTAATATTTTTTTAAAAATGCTATCAGTCAATGATTTGATATTACTTTGTTTTATTTTTTTGAATAGTTAGTAAACATGAAATTTATTCTGGCGTCGAAAGGTCAGACATTAATTTCTAGGCACTGAAGTAAGCTATTATGATCAATAATGTACTAGCTTCTTATTAATTTTAGTAGTGCGGCATATAATACTATCAAAAATCGAATATTGTTTCATGGAACGAATCTTACCAAGCAAATCAGCAAGATTCATACAGTTATGAATATACATTATTTCATTTATAGAGGTTTTAATAGCAAAAGCTTGAATTCATGGTTTGAGTTTGTTTGTTGTAATAAAGCGATGGAGTGCTTTGTGCTGACATGTTAAAATGTAACATAAAAGAATGAGAATTTTTAGTGGTTTGCATTTTAATTTTATAAGTATGGTGTCATTCGCATTATAACGTTAGAAGTGTGAAGTATGTGTATTTATGATTTTGTTTGGTCAGGTGGTTTACATCAAAATCGAAAGACTCGATCGTGTGTTTGGTGGCATCGAGAAATTGAATGTGGCGTTAAAAAGGTCAGCCAATATATGTGATGTTTTGATTTATTTTTAGTGCTGATATAGAAATGGAAAAGCTAAAAAATTTATCGTGATGGTCGTTTCGTACGATTTATTGATTCTTCGTCACAGTAATTATAATTAATTTCGGTTTTAGCACTGGTTGTCTTGACATTTAAAATTTAAAATCGTAATCGAAGTGTAATGAAAATGGGTGGTGGTCGTCGACGACGTATAGAGCGTTCTACAAGTAGTATCGATCGCCGCTATAAACGTCCACGTAATAGTTCAGAACGACATCGACGAAATGAATCACGTAATCGACGTGCCCGTAGACGTTCTTGGAATAAAAAGAATTCAGACCACGTTGTGAGTTTGAATTGTTCTTATCATTTGAAATTAATTTCAGGTGTATAAAATGATGGTAAGCTGGCCTTTATTTAAATAAAGTCTTAGTTATTTCCGTATATATAATGATTGCGATTGTCAGTTCTTAGTAGCAAGAAAATACGTCGACTTGGTAGCCTTCATTTTGAGTTCAGTTTGTTTTAATAAAAAGTATGGCGTGATTCAAGTTTATCATTTTCCAAAACATGGCAAGTTTTTCTTTTCCAGAAGTGGACAGTGAGAATTTTTGTAACGTCGTAGAAATTGAACTTGCTTAAAGCTTTCGGTCAGCAACTGTTGGCTTTCAGATCTCATTAACTGATTGGATTAAAGTATTCCTTCATGGTGCATTGCTTCGGTGTTTGTAGTGTATGCATGATGTAAAGCATAATTGGTCTTTTGCGTTTTGTTTTCAACATTCACACGTATTTTGTCATACTACGCTACAGTAAATGTAAAAATTCTCAAAAAAGGGTTGCAGAGTACCATAATTTCAATGGTTGTCAACAATGTCAGCGACACTGGCAGCATAATAAAATGGAATCAATTTCATTATAATGTACATCAGAAAAAATTTTTAATAATGTTTCATGTGACTCTTAAAAACTCATAATTATCATGAATAACTGAAGGGAAGTCAAATTGAGTCAGCGTTTGGATTATTGAAGTTACATTTAGTCGGCATTAGATTTCATGATTTCTAGAAGTATTTCTTGCACTTTTGACTGAAAATAATGTAATGGAAACGTTTGGAATTAAATTATTTCTTGATGTTAAAATTTCTTGATATTCTTGTGTGTCCTGTACTGATTACCACGAAGTTGGTAATGCGTCATGCTAGAAATGAAGTGTTGATTGAAAATTGTGAAGATTTTGCTCGAAATGAGAAAAAAGTTGATGAGTTTTGCCTGTTTGAAGATATTAGTAGGCATCGATAAGCTGTATCCAAGTATTCTTATTGGTTCATTGGCAGCAGTATTATGAAGTATAATTGCACGAGTACTAACTTAAAGTTTTCAGTACAGTTGGAAAACATTCATATTAATTTCATATATGCCAATTATATATTTTATATTTACCATTCACTCATAAAACTTTCCAATGTAATTAAGTAGCAATTAGTCCAAGAGGTAATTGATGTGAATTGTTCTGAGTGATATATCTACGTGGAAACGTTTGTGGAAAATATTTTTCTTATTAATTGATCTAAAATATACCAAAGTTTAAACCGCACTTGAAATCAGTCAGTTCTCGTATCGAATTTGATTATTTTATAAAATTTAAATATTTTTTATAGCTCTTTTGATATATATATATATGCAAAATCAAGCCAACAAAAAAAAGAATTAAAGATTTTTTCTTTAAGCAGCATCTGGGCTACAATCAGCTATCAACAGAAATATTCCGGGCTCGGTGTTTAGACGTTATGTATATTTTTTTGGTTTGAATGTAAAATTAGCTTTTTGAATCAACAGAATTTTACGCATATTAGTAGTATCATATTTCAAATTAATACTGAACATTCTTAGTGAACAATGGTACTGATCTAGCTGAACTTGTGATGTGCAAAGCTCTTATCTTGGTTTTCATTACTTGAACTACTTCACTATAGCCCTTTTTTAACTCTAGGAGGGATTTAATTATAGGCTCTGGTTTGCTAAGGCTATAATTTCATTGTTTTGTTCAAGTTTAAATGGTCTATGCTTTTGCGTTTTCTTTAATAATTACATCATCATTGACTGATTTTGATTTTTTTAGTTTTCAGAAGAAATTTCTAAACAAAAACATGAGTAAATTGCATTCTCCAAAAAGCTGTCCCACCAACTTCGTTTATTACCACTTTTCCATGTTAATATCTTTTGTATTTTGTTGAATTTTACCAGTCAAAAGTTGAAGGGAGAAATGATACTGTAAACATCGCAATAGGATAAGAAGAAAAGTTTGTTCTTTCATATGATTATCATTATTACAACGTGAAAGGATTTGGAAGTGCAGTTAGTTTTTAATGTTATCGTAGAAATTATTAAGAGTCCCAAGTGACGTGTGAAGTGAAGAAATACGATAAGATTATTAGAAAGTGAGATTTTCATTATTCATGTACTGACAATTTCATTGTTCAATAATTGCTTAGGTATTACTTACAGATTGCACAAGCCTCATTCAAGAGATAAGCAGTCAAATTGTAGTTTCAGGCGGGTGCTGTGAATTTGTCAGTCATAAGTATTTTCTTTATCATATGTTAGCTGTTAAAGATCTTTTTCCAGCTCTTATGCACTTGCTTCGAATACTGAATGGGAAACGGCTCAAAAAGTAGTAAAATATGTGGTTCACTGTTATGTAATTTGAGAAGAGCAGTTCTCTCAAAACTTCTTGTGTGTTCTTGTGTTTTTGTTGTTACAGTAGTCATGTATTATGTTTGTTTGTATTGCAAATAGTTGAGAGGAAGTGGACAAGGGAAAGAATTTGGTCAACATTTGCCATTCATTGTAACACGCACGATGACTCATTATAATAATGCGAAAAAGTATCTTTTATGAAAAACAAAGTAGATCCCGAGGTCAAAAGGTAGCAAGCAGTGCGGTTTCAGATATAAAATAAACGATTTATCAGATACTACTAGACATGGATAATTTAGATGGTGTTGAGGAAGTGGTGTGAGAAGCTAATGTTGTGTAGCAGATATTGCGGCAGAATAGAGTGAAAGATGAAAATCAAGTATGAGGGTAAGCGCAGATTATTGTTGTTATCAGAGAGATAAAGAGATCTCAGCTGCTTATCGAAATAAAGCAGCAGTTTAAAAATAGGTAGAAAGGCAACAAATAGATTTGGGGCTAGGAAAGATGAGCATCACCCTCGCCATACGTTAGTTATTGTGATGTAATGATGTTGCAGTATTTCAACTACCTCGTAGAGTATTATCACTAGCAACACTACTATTGTTATTTATCATCGTCATCAACAGCATTCATATCACAGTCGTCATCGTCATCATTATCTGGGTAAGATTTCTTCTCGAAGATTTGTGAACCGCGATGAAAGCTAGTAGTAAGGTACGGAAAGAAAGACGCGGCTGTCGTATGAGGACTTTGCAATATTCTTGATTCAAAGCAGCTGTAGTAAGCAATAGCACCACCACCACCACCATCACCATCACCATCACCATTAGCACCATCAGCTTAAGCATTTGGCCTGTTTCTTCATCGACTGACTGACTATCTCACCCGGCAATCAACTATTCATTCTCCAACAGCCCACTTGCTTTTTACTTCGTTCGAAATGGGTTCTTGTTAGTGGTTCTATTTGTATTCTTTTGATGAGATTAGCTTGTTATTTGCTACTTAACATATGTATTTATATATTTATATTTGTATATATATACGCATGTACTCGTCAGTCATTCTATACCACTTTAGTTTTTATTATCTGCCATCTTTTAGGTATCATTTTGGGTCAGTTCTAATTATGAAGAACCTGACTGCGTCAGGTCACAAAACTACCCACTTCTGGATCAGTTTCAACTGCAAGAATATTCGATTGTGATCCGGTTTCATTTTCGTTGCCATAACTTGTGGCGGTGGTGGAGGTGGTGGTGGTAGTAGTAGTGGTGGTAATAGTGGTTTCAGTAAGAGGCAAGCTAGCAGTGGTGGTACAATTGTAATTGGTATCATCATATACACTCTGTTGTTGAATATCAGCCAATATTTCATCCCTGCAGTTACCACCTTTGTTGGCCCCATCTAAGTGGGCCCATACGCCACCAGATTCTCCTTCAGTATTAGTCTTATCTCATCAGTATCCTTTGAATGGGTACTGCTGTTCACCACTGCAGCAGCTTAAGCACTTATCGACTAATAATAATCCCTTGCGGAAGGGTAATTTTTCAAACTTATCTCACTTGTCAAGTACTGTAGTTAAAAGATCTTCATTGATAAGACACTATTACTCTCATCGAATTCCCCAACACGCAACTTTTATACCGTCACCAGTATACCAACAGTCTTCTTTTCATACATCTGTTTTACCTTCTCCATCTTTATCTCCATCTGTACACTCAAATCAATCACCACGACCATCAGCAGCTCTCTTTAACAGTTTGGTAGCAAAGCCATTGTCGGAGAACTGCAACAACATGCCTCGTCGAGCCTTTGATACACTACGTCGCGTACCAATTGTGGTGATTCCACGAAGACGGAAGTATAAACATATTTCGAGACGAAACACACAACTTATTGCTAATCTTCGCCGTTGTGTATCTGATCCTATATTATACCACAGTTTTAATCATTGGTGGGGTCTAACAAAGCCATTTACTCCAGATGAGGAGATATCATTGGCAGCTTCTTCTGTATTCAATGCAGCTACTTCCGAAGCGATTTCTGCTTCAGATGAGGTGACAAGAGCTGAAGTAACGACACTCTGGAAAGATTGTGCTGTGCCAATCTTACGAACTGCGCAACACATTCCTTTCAGAGAAGAGTTGGGGGATTTTAAGGGCACTCCACTGACAACCGTTCACCAGGGTGAATTTCAACCGAAGAGTACAGGTGATCGAGATTTTTTATATACTTGTGCGATGAAGAAAGCTACTGGAGTAGCTGACATTCAATCAGATGATAGTATCACTCTCGATCAAAGGAATCAGCCAATTGCTGAAGTATTGTTACGTGCTCCGACTCCGCCTACTACGTCTCGCTTACGTTCACGCCACTTAGTTTCTCGTAGTATTGTGCTGCCTAAAACAAATGCTTTAGAAGCACCACTAATCAAGCGGCGCTTGTCAGGTCGTGCTACTCAGCATATTGCTGCTGCTAGTGCTAGTAGTAGTCATCACAAAGATTTCCATCGAGAATACGTCAATTTGCCTTCGGTGAGCGATAATCTAGATGAAAGGGAAGAAGAACGAAGCGCAGAACAAAAAGCTCAAAATACTGTTACAGCTGTTGCAGCTGCATTCTCGACACTAGCTCTTGATCCGCAGCAGCAAGTCGTTCATAAACGAGGGGCTGTTGCTGAACAAGCAGTTGATAATGTTGCTTCAAACAGTGAGAGTACTGTTACAGCAGTAACAAGCACAGATACTGCTTGGAAAGGTAATCTCAAGAGTACTGAAAGTAATGACAGCACTATGGTTGCGCTCACATCAGCTCAAAAAGTTATTCCATCACCTAATGATCCTGATTACAGCAGTACATTCGGTGATAATGCTGGTAACTGTCCAAAAAAATTGCGCAAAGAGCTCTCAACAGTTAATGTGATGATGATGCAACAGCCACCTGTACCACCAGTTCGGAAACCAAAATCATCTAACAAAGCATTTTCTCAGAATTCCCTTCTAACAACTCTCCAGTTACCGCCTTCTGTTAGTGCAAAAGTGGATCGAATTATTGCTAATGCAGATCGTAAGGAAAAGGAACGACGTTCCAATCGTGCACCGATCAATTCGGTATTGTTAATTTATTAACTTGATAATGGATGGTGGCATTATTGCAGTCCTGTCATAATCTCTGTTGAAAATTTTTAGTGATGTAGCAATGTCTTGTGTACAAAGAAAGTTTCGGTCATAAAATGTTGAAAATAAGCTATTTGTGTTGCAAAAATCGCCCTCGATTTTTAAATCATGGTTTTTAATAGTTTAATGAGGTGCATCATTTTTGCTAACTAGTGTAGTTTGCTACTTTGTAAATTAGCAAGATTAAATTGATGTTAAAATGTGTGATGCCTGATATGATATGTGGTAAGGTTACCAAGCATTTGTTTTATTTTGCTTATCAGTTTTTATGTTTGATCATTTTCTTGAAAAAAAGTTTTTGGGAAAGTGGTCAAGTCAAATTGCAGTGTTTATCAAAGAACGTAATGCAGTACAATCATAATAATGTTTTAGAATTCAATTATTAGTCTGTTAAATCGACTCATGTAGTTTCAGATGATTTAAATTGTCCTGTGAAACAATTTTGTCTGAAAATTGTGACTGAGAATGAATTGATCTGTTAAAATGAAAGAAAGAAGTTAGTGATAGTGTGAACTTTTGTGAATTCTATTAATTTTTTAAATTGACATTATTACCAGGGTGGAAGTTTAAAGAGTTGTCGAAAGTGATTTATGTTTTATCTGCATTTAGTACATGGATAAAATTATAAAGTAGAAAAATTGTAGAAATAATTTTTTTGCATATTTATTAGCTCCTAGTTAGCATTTCAGAGTGATCGTTCGGATCGCCCACAACCGGTTTCTTCAACAAAGTCACACATAATCGAGGCTGGGCAAACGCCATCCAGTTCTATCACACCCTCAGTTGCACGAACTGTGGTTCAGGATGATCGTGATGGACATTTGATATATCAAGATGGTGATGTAATTCAAGGAAAATGTAAATCTCTGTTTTTCAAATGATTTACCGGCAAAATTAATTTCTAAGCCTCGAATATTTATAATCATTTTTTCTACTGAAACCTATTCATTTTAATAATTTTCATTGTACTATTTTATCAGCTTTTATTTCATTAAATTACTGACTAAGTCTGTTTCTATAATTTATTGCAGATGAAATAATACGGACGTTAGGCGAAGGAACATTTGGCAAAGTAGTACAAGTTAAAGATGGTACCAAAAGTGGTCGGCAGTTTGCATTGAAAGTTATTAAAAATGTAAGCAAATATCGAGAAGCCGCGCGTCTTGAAATTAATGTACTCAAAAAATTACAAGAAAGAGATCCGAATGGAAAATTGTAAGATTTATGACTTTTCATATACTTCATTTACCACCTATTCATTTTTATTCTATGAGAAGAATGTTCTACAAATGCCATAAATGCTACAATTGGGTGGAGTCTAATATGATATCATTTTAAATCTTCCATTTGTAGAATATATTGAGATGTGCTTTTGTAATTCGAGTTTATTATTTTTTTTAGCATACTTTCATGATTTCCTAAAATTAATTAATGTTTACAATTTTTGGTTACATTCATTTTTCCATTCATTCATGTTACAGCAATGAAAAAATATATAATTTTCATTAACTATGGTTGCAGCTTAGTGATACAGCTTTTGGATAATTTTGATTATCACGGACACGTTTGCTTGTTATTCGAATTACTTGGCCTTAGCGTTTTTGATTTTATGGTACGATTCTTTGTTGATATCTTCATAGTAAAATTAAATTTTCTCTGTCATTTTTTTGAACACATATATGTAAACTTTTTCATGAAATCATGGCTGCATATCAAGAAGTTGAGGTCCCATAACATATTGATTTCATGCGATCTTTAATCTTGTTAGATCTTAAATTCTAATTTCAGTATCTAAACAGTTTTCTTGTAGAAAGCCAATAATTACCAAGCGTATCCAATGGAACAAGCGAGGTACATAGCCTATCAATTATGTTATGCAGTGAAGTTTATGCATGATAATCGTTTAACGCACACAGATCTCAAGCCCGAAAATATTTTATTTGTTAATAGCAGTTACAGGTTTCTTTTTCAACCGTTTTGTGTTGAGACTAAGTTAGAAGGCTACAAGAATGGGCTTCATATTCAAAAGAAAAAATAGGACACTAATAAAGTCGTTGCTTTGTTTATTGCTGTAAATAAACTTTTTCTTTTTTGATCTAATAAATATTATGCATAATATTTCGTTAATTTTGTACAATTTGAGCCGATTTTTCCAAGTATCAAGTTGATCATTTTGTTTACCATATTTGAATTAGTTTTGATGTTTTTTTACAAATTAAGTCTCATATTTTCATCTTTGGCTAATTTATGTTCATGGAGAAAGAATTGTTTTCAAGCTTTCTTCAGATTTGCTTAAATTTAGTATAACATTCAAGTTCGAATAACTTTTGGATTGTCATCTAAATTTTAGAGTAGTTGAAGATGGAAAGAAAAAAAGACCGTTACGGATAATTGATGATGCACGCGTGAGGTTGATCGATTTAGGTTCAGCAACATTTGATCATGAACATCACTCAACTATTGTTTCCACAAGACATTATCGAGCACCTGAAGTGATTCTAGGTTTTTGCTTATTTTCACTGTCTTTAATTTTTTTCAATATTCTACTTAATACTACTTTGAAAATTCATAAAATTAGACATAAATGAGATTCACTGAATCTCTTTTGCTCTCTAATTGATTAAATTCAACAATGTTTTATGTTTTTTTTTTCAAAATTAGGAAATGGATTTTTGTTTTTCAGCTTGGAAAGAACGTGTCTTAAAGTAGTTTAAAAATCCATGGTTGTCTTAGGTCAAACACTAATTCTGTGTCAAACATTTGAGTCGAAAAAAATCTTAGGTTAGACATTAATTTTAAGCGGTTTTAAGGAAAGATGAGTGGAAAAGTTTCAGTTTCAGTCAATAAGGATGAACATATATATTTATTTACTGATAATTTTAGTCAAGTACTATGGAGCAGGCACCTTAAGATTGATTATATTGTGATGATTTGTAGCTGTTGTCTAGCATTTTAAGATAGTATTTATTTTCAAAAGCTTTACTTTTACAATTCAATTTCTTAATTTTTCATGTTATTCATTAAAAATTAAACCCACTATAGATATCCATCAAAAACTCTAAAACATAGTTCATAAAGGATATTGAGTCTTAAAAAAAGATCAGGGTTTTAGAGCTTGGCTGGTCGCAACCATGTGATGTCTGGTCAATTGGATGTATTTTATTTGAACTCTACCTCGGCATCACATTATTTCAAACACACGATAATAGGGAACATCTTGCAATGATGGAACGTATTCTGGGTACTTTGCCTTATCGAATGTGCAGGAAGTCAAAGTTTGTAATATATTTGAAATGAATTTTATTAACGTTTTTCTTCGCACCTTGTTCATCGCATGATGTTATTGATATAGAGCTAAAAAAATTTATTTTACATACCCAAAAAATTTTCTTGTTGTGTCATTGCAATCAGTATTTTAAATTAAAAATTTTGGGCTAGTCTGTTATCATTTTCATTTATTGAATGGTATTTTATAATATATATTCACTTTCAGAACCAAATATTTTTACCATGGCCGCTTAGATTGGAATGAAAAAACCCAAGCAGGACAGTATGTAAAGGATACTTGCAAACCGCTGTCGGTGAGATATTTTTGTTCATATAGTTCTGTGCAGAAAAGAGTATGTATATGCACATTTGAGTATGAATACCTTTAGTTCTGTTTTCATCTGGACGATATGTCATGGAAAAATTGAAATTATCATATAATTTTTATTCGTAGTGCCATAGCTATGTATGGTGCATTGAGCTATTTTATTATTTAAACAAACAATTAATTCATTTCCATCATTAATCATAACTCCAAATCCTTTTTATTAATTGAGCGTAGTTTTCAGCGTTATATGAAATCAAACGATCCAGAGGATGTCGAATTATTTGATATAATATCAGAAATGCTCACATATGAACCGTCCCAAAGAATAACATTAGACTCTGCTCTAGATCATCGGTATTTCAAACGTTTAGAATCACATCTTAGGTAACTATTTTTGCATACATCTTCAAGTTCAAATCAATTAGAAGGCTACTGATAGATATGTAATAAATTAGTAGTTTCTTCCAAAAAAGTTATTTTTCTTGTCTCCTTCAAGTAATAGTTTATTTAACTAATTCCACATTATCAAAATATTATATTTTACCATTTATTCTTTTTGAATTTAATGATTTCCTTTATACTAATATTTGTTTTGTTAAAATCATATCAGTATAGAGCAATAATTTGATTCAATTTTTTCATCATATCAGTTTTTATTTTAGTTATCTTTCCTGTTTCCTCTACCATTCATGAATATCAAAATATGTTCTCATTCAGTCAAATATGTTTTTCAAGCAATTAAGGTTGCATGAAAACGAAGCTTCATCGAACGGGTCATCCTCATCAATAGGAGCGTCATCAGTAACACAATCAGCAAAAACTGAAATTATAGTAATATCAGAAGCGGGTGATGGAGGTAGTGAACAACGATAGTATTCAGCATGTCATGCAATCCGCTTAAGGTATTTATTACTTTTGGTATGTATGAGATAAATGTACCAAAATTAAGTTCAAATAGTATGAAAGTAACTGAAAAGTAGAGATATGCAATAGATAATTGTTTTTTTAAGATGTGGAAAAAATGTTGCTTTGAAGGTATTTAATATTCAATTCATGTTGTCATTTCAAAAAGGCTTTAAAATTTTATAAATTTAAATATCCTGAATCATTCATTATCTTACAACGGTACATTCATTGACAGTTGTTCACTTTTCCTTTTTTAATTATCTCATTTTTATATTCAAGGAAGGTTGATTTTTGAGCATTGTAAATTTGTCTGATAAAATGGTGTACAACTGTAATGTAAACATAATAGTCATCGCATTTGTTATAAGGTATCTCTTCATCATAATTTATAATAACATTTAACTTTCAAAAAATGCTGTGATTTATTACCCACGTACAGCTCTTGGTTATAAATCTTGTGCTTCGATTCGAAAGTTCCCTTCCTTGTTAATGTTTAATTGATCATTTTCAATATTTCCATATATATATCAGTGTAACCTTTCGCTACATACAATCAAGATTACGTAAAGCTTGTTTCTCAAATCATATCCTAGTTTTCTTGACTGTTTGAGTCATAGCAACAGACATGAATTGTTTTTCGTCGTTGGAGCCTCGAATTATTTTGGCGATCATAAATTCATATTCAATTCGACTTCCTTAATTAATGTATTTTTTCTTCAATTTACGCATCGTCATTTCGTTGTTTGGAAATTCACTCAGGCATTCAGTTAATTCTGTCATGTACTCTTTCCATGTTTAGTTTTATTCATTTTTTTGTATAATGAAAAATTTTATAGATGTTTTCTTTTTTTTATGTTTAGAACGTGAGGTGAACTTATAGTGGTGAAAATTTGTTGATGATTGCTTAGATTTTCTAAATTGTATGTCAAAGACGAATTCACAATTGTTATGAATACCAGCGCCAAATGATATCAATGGTAAGCCTTCTTTCTGCTATGGTCTTCCCAAACTTTAAATCGAAAGAGTTCCTATAGTCTATTTTTCGGAAGAATATCAGTGTATATTTTTAATCAAATCTTTAATCAGTGCTATACTATTCTTAAAGCTTTTATAGTTAGAAAGAAATGGGCGCCGTCTGCTTCTGCGCAATTCATTCTTTTGCCAAATTTTTTACTTTTTACTCAAAAGACTCTTTATATAATATTCATATAATTACTATTAAAGTATTATTTATTTGTTCAATTTTGCAGTTTTTCATTTATTACGATAATAAATTTGTATTTTGCAGTGCAGTCGCGGAGCGTATTTAAAATATGCCTTCGCAGTGATGTGTAGTGAATTTTTATATTGGCAAATTGTTAAAAAATTACGGAAATGAAAATTATTGACTTGTATGCATTGTTGTTGTTGCAAAGATAAATGAAGTTTTTCATGCATCACGTGTTATGAAAAGTCTTATATGACCAAAAAGGCAAGGAGAAACAGCAGGAAGTAACATTGAAAGTGCATTTTCTAACTGATCAATGATGATCGTTGGAGATTCTTATTTATTTTATTAAGTTGGTCTTGGCTGGTGACTAGTTTTGCTGATGGCAGCTATTAAGTTATTCTTGACCACTTCTTCCATGAGACAGGTCTTCTTGAAGATAGTTGTTAGTATTGTCGGTGTTGTGCAACAAAGTGTTTAGTTCTGTTTTTCTACTATCCAGTTAAGAAAGTTTCTTAGGTTGAGGTGTTGCGTATCTCTAAATGTCACGGAGTTTATGCTCACTAGCTTACGAGTCAACTTTGTTAATTTCTTCTTTGGCATGCTAATAATGTTCAAGAAAGTGAAGCAGGGATCAGGATTCGTTGTGATCAGTTCTATGACACTGCCTATATCTGGCACTCATTTCTCAAAAAATGAAGTGATAATGTTGGAAAACAAAAATGGAAAGGAATCTAGTCCGAAAAATTTTCATTTGCAACAGTCAAAGAAGTAATGGATTCTTAATTTTCATAATGGGTTTGGTAGTTCTCTTGCCTAATGAAACAGATTGTCTTGATAATTTATCTGTTATTATTCATCGTTTTTGATTTTATGCATGGTACTTTGACTTGTTTGTTGTTGGATATTCGGATTGATTGTACTGCTTTCGTGATTTTTCGTTGCTTTCCCTTTCATATATACAATTGATATTACCACTGATTGTTTGTGTTCATGACTAGAGTGTTGCAAATAGTTTACATTTAGCTGAAAGTAAAACTTTCAGGGAGACTACTTTTTGTTTTCGGACAAATAAACAAACAAAATTTCAACATCATACAAATGTAAGTTAGTTATCTTTGCTGCGATTATCTTAGGAGAATATCAAATGAAATTTGAAAAGGTTAAGCTTATTCAATTGTTGTAGTGTATAGCATTGATATCATGTGATCATGTAACTGAAGTTATGCAGAAAATCTGTAAGAAAATATAGATAAAATGACTGAAGTATTGTGTGGTAATACACCTATTGGATGCGGTGATGCATTCGACTTTTCAAATTGTGCACGAAATATGGCTTTGGAAGCAATGGGTGTAAAGGCACCTACTACAACTAGTACTGGTACAACTATTGTTGCATGTGTATACAAAGTATGTGCAATTCATTTCTATTTCTACGTGCTGCAAAGTTTGTAAAGCTTGTTCAAATAAATACAAAAAAAATTAATCATATATGTTATTTAGTGCGGTAGCCATTTTTATTATATTACATTCTGATAAATGTGATTACTTGTGGAAATATATAGTTTTATTTTGTGTAGTGCTTAAGTAGAATGAAAATTTTCTCGATGATATTTCAGGATGGTTTGGTGATGGGTGCAGATTCTCGTGCAACTGCAGGTAACATAGTTGCTGATAAGCATTGTGAAAAAGTCGCTAAATTAACCGATTCTATATATGCATGTGGTGCTGGGACAGCTGCTGATTTGCATCAAGTTAGTATTTTAACAGATTTATGCGTTATAAGAGTTTATTACATTTTAGCATATAATTGTGTAATTTTTTATTGTAAATTCGAGCAAGGCATTTTGCTATCTACAGTAGAGATAATTTGAAGTCCTTGTAAAATCTTGACAAACTATGACCAGAATGTTGGACGTCAGAATTTTTTTAGTGACGTTTAAATGCAACGTTTGGGAATCACGTAAGGTGTTGTAAGTAATATTGTTTTGATTTTAATCAATTTTTCATTAGGACTGCGCAGTGTTGAAGAAAGATATTAGGTATATTCAATGAATTTTAAATAATTCATTGGTTTTTATTTTCTCCGATTTATTTGTAATGAAAATTGTTTATTAAATTATTATCCACCTTCCGCATTCTTTTTTTTCTAGTCACATGTTATAGAAGATTAAAAAAGTATAGGTAACGAAGATGTTGTCTGCGCAGTTACGACTTTTGGAATTGAATAGTGGGAAAAAGGCGCGGGTAGTTACAGCACTTAGACGAGCTAAACAGCACCTTTTTTCTCATATGGGTTATATTGGTGCATATTTGTTGATTGGTGGAGTCGATCCCTCTGGACCTCACTTGTTTGAAGTATATCAGAATTTTCGTATGCGTAAAAATTCAGAAACGAATATTATCATTTGCATATGCATGCTTTGCATTTTTTTAAAGACATTATGTCATATGATTGTTTGTGTTTTTTGTCAAGATTATTTTGAAATCATCTACAAGGTGTGTGTGAGATTATTAGTTTCCTTGATTCAAAGCAATTCAGTTAAAGCTCATGTTTCTAGCTACAAAAAGGTTTTTGACATTTAGTTTCACATAACCACAAAATGAGTTGAGAAATTGGTTGCACAGTATGTTATTGATTGCTGTTTTAGTGCTCAGCAAATGGATATACACAAAGTAAACCTTACGCTGCAGAGGGTTCGGGTAGTTATGCTGCGATCACTGTTTTGGAACGAGATTTTAAGACTAACATGACGGTAAGTAAGTGTGCAATTTGTTATTAGTAAATAAGTATTCTTTTCGTTTCAAGTAAGCGATTTTTTTTCTACTTTTTTATGATGTATGTGATTCACGGTCATTCAAATTATTGGAGAAACCAACTGAACTTTTATATTTCATAGTTCATAGTATACATGAAATTTCTACTCGCTAATTAAAAATATTGTTACAGTGATCGCTAGAAAAGCACTTCATTCTCATAAAAAGTGTGTTCCATTTCTCAATCTATGAGTCATGTATGATTTTTCAGCGAGAAGAAGCTGTTTCTTTGGTTCAACGCTCATTAGAAGCTGGCATGCATGGTGACAATTTTTCCGGAAATTCTTTGAACTTCGTGATTATTACACCTGAAACTACAGTATTTGAAGTAACTTTTATATTCGCTCTCTAGCAATCTTTTAAAATTAATCATATTTCGATATGTCGTAATTTCACTAAACTTGACCACCTAAAAGTGCATTCACAAAATTTTTGTTGAATACGTTGAACGATGTTTACCCATAAAAATGGTCATTTTTCAAGTTGGAATTTATAAGAAATAGTGTCATAAATAGTTTTTTCAGGGTCCTGTTATTCCAAGTTTTTGTGTTCGACCAGAAGCAGTTGAACTGGACTATAAATTTAAGCTCGGCTCAACAAAAATTTTGAAACAGAAGGAAATTAAATACGATATTATTGAAAGCATGGATATTTCGCATTGAAAAATTGTGTTATGTACTGGTTTTTTAATAGTTTATTTATTACTGCGAGATCTTTTAACTTTTATAAATTTGAATAATTTACTTTCACCCTTGCGAATAAAAAAGTTCACTTTGATTTATGCAACATGCACCTATAATTTGTGCCAAGCGGTAAATCTCTTAAAGTTCGAATTTAACGCAATGCGTCGTCGTAATATTCAGGAAACTGCTAAATTTGTTTCGCTTCATTGTAAGGTTTGTGTGATAGATTTGTGAAATAGGACACAAAAAATTAGAATGTGTTTGCACTACTAAGCAAAATTAGTGAAGATCATGCAAGCACTGATTTGTTTTCCCTCTCGGTTGGTTTCTGCATTTTGACTTCAATCTTTCTATGATTTATCAACGTCTTTGTTAAGTATACGGTTTGTAAAATTTCTTAAGTGAATAGAAGATCCAAATCAAAATCAAAAAGAAGGAAAAAATGCAAGTGAAATAAATAAGAATGGTTTCTGGTTTAGTGCAATCATTTTATTCTATTGAGTTGCTTAGTAATATAACTGCTATTGTAGATGTAGTATGTGCTTGAAGAAGTTTTATTTGATCAGTTTCTAGAGGTTTGTGGATGCTTATTTAGCTGCATAACTTTTGTGAGAGTAAAAATTTAGTTCAATTTCTGAATATTAGCAATATATCATTTGGTCGCAGTGAGTAGATTTTGGCAAGACGTATTGTTTCACGCGTGTACTTTTTTTTTGCAAGATTTGAATTTGCATTACTATAATATTCAAATATGTATGAGATGAAAGAATAGCCGCTTTTAATGTTGAAAAAAAGAAATGAAAATGGTGTCGTGGGAGGTCCTTTTGCTGCCTTAGATAAATTGATAGTATGTTAATGACCGTATCATTTTGTCAATTAACTATCAGCAAGCATTTATTCATTTTACTCAAAATATACCTCAATACTTGCTTGGTATTACTGTATTGTTGTTAATAATAGCAAATATACAGTAATAATGAATTACAATAATTTTTGCATTTTTTTTTTAATTTCTAAAATAATATGCAAAAAGTAATGATTTGCTATTTTATTGCCTTTTTAAAACTTGTTCATCATCTTTTTTTTTTGCTTTTTTTCTACTTTTTTTTTTCAAAATGATAAAAATCATTATTTTAGTGTCTAATTTTTATTGTTATTGTCATTTTTGGTAGGAATATTTGAAAATTTGCATATTTCCCACAATCTTTTCGTTTCATCTTCTTTTTTTTTCGATCATTTTTTTCTTTTTTAAAAGTGTAATTTTTGAGTGTATGCAAATTAATTCTACAAAAGATCATTTTGGTTTGCAGTTCAAATTTTTTTTCTTTTTTATTTGATCTTTGCTTTGATTGATAAATTATTCTGTCTTTTTGCAAATATTTGCTAATTTTGTAAAATTGTAAGCATTTTATTGTTGACTCATAGAATTTAGTATCTGTAGATAATGCATATTTTTTTCTAAATTTTATAAAAATTAAACAAAATTATTTTATAAAATTTTGTTTCAATTTTGTAATACAACATAATACGAAACGTTTTTAAAAAATATGATTACATTTTTAGCAATTTGTTTTTTCTTTAAATATTTTCCCGGAAAATCGCAATAATTCTTCAGCTAATACAACAATTTGAATAATATGCAAGCAGATAATGCAGAATTCCGTGTAAAATATTAATAAAAAATTGATAAATTAGTAATTTTAGCATTGCGAATAAAATACCTGAAGAATTTGTAGTTAATTAAA